AGAAATTCCCTAAAAATTACCCACGATGGAGTCGCTCTTGCGTTTCCCTGGGTCGACGAGCTCCACCAGTTGACTTCTTGGTATTTTCGAGCGCAACAGCCCCGCAAATTAAGTCATCGTGACGTATGTAGTCTCGTATCGTTTAATCGAGCACGATTCGCTCACGCTATTTAGCGCGCCCCGCTTATTTGCATGCGTGAACAATCCGTGCTCGTTTATCCGGCTAGAAAATCTTTTCCACGAAACACGAACGAACGCGTCTGTCTCGTTATTTGCGAACGCCTCGCGTGAAAATTAACTTGGAAGTTGGCAGACCCGTGACGCGAAAAATGAAACGGATCGAATTGAAGGGATTTCAAGGAATTACTGGCTGAGATTTTTGGGGATTTTTAATTTTCAATGGAAAAGAAGGATTTTTGGTATTATCCGTAGAGGGTGTTTCGTTTCAAGCGGAAGGGTTAAAATTAAATATTCATTGTTATTAAATTGTTAATATTGTTTAAGAGATTACATGTTTCATGTGGGGATCGAGGGTATCGAACAAATGTTTTTATGAAAGTTATTTTGTAACGAAGGGGAACATAAAGTGATTCGAGAGATTTAAGGAACAGATTAATTTGTTGAAATGGTACTTTATGTATTCTTATCCGTTATGAGATATGGCATTTTATTGGTGCCCTGGTTTCCAAGAACAATTTTTTATCGAATGTACAACATTTTTGTTTTACTTTCACTTAGTCACATTTTTTTTGTTAATTCCATTGCTACCATCGCTTTTTTTATTTTAGATGGATTACAGGCACGATAAAACAGCATTAAGTTTGATAACAGTTGATATATATCGATACGATAGTCGTGTAAGTCTCAGTATCTCTCATAGTGTAGAAAGGTTTGATGTCAGAGACTATCGAGGATATCAAAAAATACCCCATTGATAGCTTTATCGCCGCGGTGCTGATTAAATGCCAGCAATTTTAATTAAAAAAACAGAGAAACAATCTTTATACCCACTGTTTATAAATATTCCACCCCTCGTTGTCTAGATCTAAGATAGCCACCCACTTTCCTACTTCATCGTTTCGTTTACAAAAATTTTATTTCCATACAAAACGTAAGAAAAATCGATAGCATAATAATCGTAAGAATAGAGACGTATAAGTGTTAAAGTTCATTACAGGACTATGCACTCCAACGAGCTAAATAACTAACTATGTCCGCCAATCGATAAGACGCGAAAGTATCGCGCCGAGCATCTTTTTTCCCAATTCGTTCCCGTTTATCGAGCCGCTGATAACGTTGATAACGCGTCTGTTGCAAGTTTAATATCGCGCTGCATTTTCCCGCGATCTAGTCTTTTTTCGCACCTGCGATTCCGAAGGAGCTCCACGCCCGCTTGCCGTTGTCCCACCTGATCATGGAGATCCTCGAAATTCCCATGTGGAACGTGGTCGACGAGTACTTTGAGGATTTCCATTATTATTTCAATTTGGTGAGTTGCGTTAAGCGATTTATTTATGAAACGATCGTTACGCCTTTTATATAAGCCACTTGACTCGCGGCTCACGGAGTCGATTAATAGCTGGGCGTAAAAGTACGCGACGAAATGCCCGCGCTGAAGACCATATTTGTTTTTTTTTAATCGCGAAGGAACCGCGTCGAAGACACCATTTTTTTTTTTACGCTGGAAAGTTGGCTAAACTTGCAGTTGTGCGGGGGAAATTGTTAGAGCGTGAAATATGGGAAATTTAATTGATTTTATTCCCGATATTTTTTAACATCGAATACTATGACTGATTTTAAATATTTATACATATTATTGGTGTGAAATGTAACAAATATTAATCGCTCCGCTTTCTGATATTTTTTCAATATTTAATTGTATCGATTCTATAATATCGTCCGAATGAAACATGTCCAATTTTAATTACTTTGCTTCCTGATATTTGTTAAACGCTCTTTCGAATTGAAATACATACATGTATATTTCCATGTATATTACATGTTCACTTTTCCAGAATATTTATTTCATACAACGTTATAATTGTTGTGGACAATCACACATTCATATTTACATTTTTAGACGTTTGGTTCGTATCATTTGCTCCTTGTTAACACGAACAATAAATAGCAAAATGAGAACGCGTGTCGTAGACCACGACGATAGCTCAGTAGCTGAAGCGTTCGACTGCAAATCCCGAGGTCCTGAGTTCGAATCCCCTCGCCTCGTTTTCCGTACGTGGACTTTTTACACTAGCCGCACTGGTACATTTTTCAACCTCTACATTATCAAATTAAATAATCACAGACTCACCTGTTCGCGAGATACTGGCGAAAAAGAAAATACAATGATGCTTCTTAACGATTACAATCATCGGATACGAAGTCATTATTGTAAGATTAGAAAATCCGTGTTTGCTCGCATGACACACTCGGCGGTGAGAGGCAAACAGTTTCGCGACGCTAAGTATTATTCGCAATTAGTGACAGTAGAGAGGGGAGGGGGAGTGGGTTCACGGGCAAGAACACGATGCTAATTAGTCGTTGGCAACACCGTTTCTCGAGGAGCGTATAAAGAACCGTCGATTAACCCCGATGCTATTTTCCACGAAGTCCCGTATATGACTGGGTTCCGACGTCTATTGTCTTCATGGAAATTGCAGATCGCGGTCGTGGCTGCATTCTTGAAATCCAGCTGACTGGATCGTGTAGATATAGTTTGCCAAAGAAGCGCACGCTTGAGATAAAATGCTGTCTGGTCGTGCACGTGCGATACGATAGTAGAAGTATGCTGGGAAAACGTTCTTTAACAGTTTCTGGAAAATTCTTGACGTGGTTGCTGGTTCGTACAGGTGGATATAGTAGGTTTTGAATCATATGTGATTTTTGTAGTACAACTGTTTTTATGGGAGAGCCCTTCACGCAGATATGAATTATGTAGGCCAGATAGATTACGCTTGTTTGTATACGAGACACAAACATCATTTACGTATCTGTTTATTAGTTCACATATGCGTAGTAATCACGAATCAGTGTACTTGTTTGAGATCCTACACATTGAAGGTTCCTTAAACCTTTATGAATAAATCTTGAAGAGAGTAAGCACTATAAGATTCCTAATACTGAAGACACTAATCACTAGAAGCTTCCAAGTCCTCAGGACACTAAGCACCAGAAAAATCCTCTTAATTCCTGAAGACTCTAAGCACTAGAAGCTTCCAAATCCTCAGGTCAATAACACCAGAAAAATCCTCGTAATTCCTGAAGACACTAAGCACCAGAAATTTCCAAATCCTGAAGACTCTAAGCATCAGAAAAATCTTCTTAATTCCTGAAGACACTAAGCACCAGAAATTTCCAAATCCTGGAGACTCTAAGCACTAGAAGCTTCCAAATCCTCAGGACACTAAGCACC